AATGCTACAATGATTTGCTAATTAGCTAAACACAAGTACCACGTAATTAAGAGCAATTAGACCCGGGAAGTATGTGAAAAAAAAAAAGATCTGTAAACAAACTGTTTGTACAGTATTGTTGTTACTGTTGGGTCATCTGTTAGCAATATTTCAAATGTTTGGATTGCTTAACAGTCATTTTATGAAAAAAACGGTGCATCTAAAAAAAGATGAGATAAATTAGGGGGAAATAAGTTTTCCGAAAAATGACAAATTGGAGGAAATTTATAATTTTTCCGGATTTCTTCAAAAATTAACACATCTCATTGACAAATGTCATCTTTACATTTCTAGGAATAAGTATAAGATTTTAAAGTTATTTAAGTTTACTTGTGAAAAATATCAAATAATCATAAAGAAGAAATTAAAATAAGCTTAAAAAAAACTGTGAAGAACAAAAAAGTTTAATTTTTCAAAGATGTTCTATAACTTTTCCAATTAGATTGGAAATTTTTGTATGAATGATTCAATGATCTCAAGGAAGTTTTAAATTTGTTGAATATTGTCAAGTATTGGGATTTTTTTTTTTTTTTTGAATCAGTATGTCACTGTGCTGATCTATGAAGATCATTGTTTGGGAAAATAAATAATCGATACTGACCAGTAGGAGCCCTTTAGATTGGTCACTTCAGTCAAACAAATCCCGTGTTTTTACCACCATCCATTTCCTTTTCTAACTATGCCACACTTGCTTCCTGATTGTATATAACAGAAATTTTCATAATCATTTCATAAAGATAAATATCTAAGACCTTTTACATGTATATAAAATACATGCATCAAAGTAACAGCCGGAAAACTACCGGGATCTCGCTTTACCAACCGTAATCCTACAATTCATTCCGTGACCATTTTCAAATACTATCAATTCTTTTGCAATACCTTTTATAACAACTACGTTAATTGGCCACTTTGGAAAAAAATAACTTTTTGCACTCTTTGATTGCGAAAGGTGTAATTAAATAAATTCTAAACTGTAATTCAAAAGAGAGTTCAATTAAAGCACATACAAAGAAAAAATTCATATAATAATTTGAACATTAAAACAAAAAACAGATGCATTTGGTTAACGAAACTCTTCTTCAAATGAATATTAGAAGGTTCTATTCAAAGCCTGCTTCTGAGCTCTATCCTTGATTTCTATGCTTAGATCCTCTGTCTGAATCCATTCTATTGAATTTCGCTCTTTGTATATTCAATATATTTGTTAAGCATATATAAAAGGCGTTCAGGAGTTCAGGACACCTCACATATTTGCAAAGTACATATAAGTGACTGAAATGCTTGATTATAGTATGTTCGAAAGTATCATAAATTGGCATGTTTAAATTTTTCAGAAGTCGCAATAGGAAGCTGTAAATTTCGATCATCTTGTTGAGAAAGTTGCTTCTTACTTTCAGACAGGTGATGATTAAGAAAAAAATTTCTTATTTCTGTACAAACCAATAGCAAGTATGAACAAAAAATGCACTTTGCATGAGGCAATAAAGCGACTCAAAAATGATTTTTCCACAGCATTGAGCTAAAAAAAATAAGAAACGATATATAGTTCTCTTCAAAAAAAAGAACCCATCAACTCTATTGTACTAGAATGAGTTAAAAACTGACAATTCTTCATCCACTAGAAAAACCTGTATTTTACAAACAACAAAATTAACAAGTAATGGAAAAATCAATATTTACATTCTTCAAAGCTGTCAGGTTAAACGCTACTCGGTTTATGGACTTAGAATCACTTCATCAGAATCCATATTTGACGATGGTCGATTTGATCTTTGGAAACTTCAAAAAAACAACCCATCGCTTCAAATTTTTAAAATATGAACTAGCATTTTTTGATAGAATAAGTTTCGGTTGTTAGCATATTATACAAATATAAAGGATGTAAAGTTCCACTGATTTTAAATGCAAGAAAGTAGAAAAGAAATGAACCTACTTTTCTCGGTGCCTGAATGAATGAAAGGAATTATTTGTGACCCGTCTGTCGTTATGTAAATCACGTTGACGTTGAGATTTCCTAAAAATATTTCTTCAAATCTCTTTTCAACTATGAGAAATGTCGTTAGTGGTGCTGAGCAATATAAAAGTTATGCAATTTACGATAATACTTCTGGAACGCTACATTCTGCATTTCATTTAATTATCATATGCACTTGCATGTTTTTCACTAATAGCGAAGGCTGGTAAAGGCAAATAGTACAAGTTGTCGCTAATAGCATCGAAATTGACATGACATGATTCCTTTGAAATGAAAAGATATACAAATGTGTTCAAAGGAATTAAAAGTTCACGAATAGCACTTCGGCAGGGTCACATAAAACATACCCAACAAATGATTGTTGGGTATGCATATAACAGTTCGACCGATTCCACCGGTAGTAGTTGTGCAAATACTTTAGTAGGTCATAAATTCTGTACTTCAACACACAATCAAAAAAAAATAGTTATAGAATTCGATTATAGAAATAGTTATAGAATTTTGCGTACAATTCGGAACTTCATAACTGTTCAACGTGCTTTGAGGAAATGAAAAATGAACTAGAAATTACCCATAAGAATTTTCCAATGGCAAAGAATGAGATTGGCAATCATATCTGAATTCATTTTCATCTCCATCAAAATCAAAATCATTACGTTCAATGAGTCTTTTTCGCTGTTGTAGATTTAACCTACGGTCCTTTGATCGCAGGTAAGATGAAGAATTCGCGCCAACCTGATATCTCTGCCTAAATAATGAAATTCGGCAAATTTTGATTTGTATCAAATGGCTCAACTACGAATTTACGACGATTGTTTTCGCATCAGCAGCATGCTCTTTAGATGAGAAAGTCAGAAAAATCAATGGCTTTTGAAAGACTGAAAAAAAATTTTGATAACCCTACCTTGGTGATTCATAGTTTCTATTCAGATAAGAACGTTGCGCAACAACATATTCATCCTCTCCACTATCATCGGAAAGATCATCAAAATCTGTACATTCTAAATCATGCAGGCGAGATTCGTCTTCTTTGACATGATCACATATGCCATCAACAAAGCTCGCTAACCTAAAAAATATGCCAAATGACACAATAAAAACTGAGAAGAAAAACCAAGAACCATAAATCATAAGTATTCGAACCACTAACTATTAGAAGACCGCTTAAATTATTACAAAAATTCAGTTACCTCTTTGGGTCACTCACTGAAGATGTTATTTTCCAAACATCTGCTTCCGGACTTCGACAAAACTGGCGCAATCCTTCTAATGCTTTTCTAGTTTCTTCCTCACCCTGCTGCCGATATTCCTCCATTGTCAATAAACGCTGACACTGTGGGAATAGAAAAAGCCTGCAAGGTCTCAAAAATTCCACCAAGTGCAAATATTTGAAACATTCTCTTCAAAATCTGCAAACTGACATCCTAGCTGCATGTTGACTCATTGTTCACAGAACGAAAAGAAGATTTATCAAGGCATGAGAACATATGGTATAATGAATTGCAGGAAAAATTTTATAATTTCACCACTAACAGCTACAGCGGTGTTATCAGTAGTGTAGACAGAAATTTGTCCATTAGTTCTGACGAAAATTTCTCTAAAATTATACAACACCATATGTTCTAGACAAACTAAAAATTAACTAACCAAACCATTTTGAAAACAGACATGAATCTGGATGCCAAATTAATCAACCAGTTTTTTGAAATCGACCATAGTAGTAACAGGACAATAACTCCAATAGCGATATCTGTTATCTAAAATAAAGATCACGATAATCGATCAAGTGAAGAATAATTCACTTAGTTATAACAAATGACAAGATTCAAGAAAGGAAAAAAGAATATTTCAAACAATACCATTAAGAAGGAAGTAGCTAGTAATTTACTTGGCACGATGAGTATATCAGCAACAAGGCAATCAGTTGCAATGTCCACTGAGCAAGATTATGAGATCTGACGTCTGTTGGTGGTCCATAACGATAACAAACCGCTAATGATATTAAAATCACTGTAGCAAAATATGCTGCCACAAATTTCTGATACAATAAAATTAAAGAAGCGAGATTCTTCCAAAGAGTGTAAATGAAAAATAACGAGACGGACCAGCCAGTGAACATCAAGGGAATTCCCAACCAACTCTGAAAAGCTTGGAAATAACTTTATCGCTCTAACATTTATCACAATTCCAACATTTTATTTTTTCTAATATCAGATTCTTTTGTCAACATATCTTAGGCTTAACTGATTTTGAGTTCTTGTTTGTCATCTGGAACTGACAGTATCGGAGTACAGAGTGAGAATTGTTAGGAATAGAAAAGTGTCGTTACACACATTTCTACTTTAAATTCTTTAAAATATATAAATGGAGACACAGAAAAGTTTGCAAGATTACAAAAATTTCCGGAATCACTTAGTAGTTAGACCATTCCTTTTCCCTATATAACTCATTTTAAAAAAAATTCTTGTTTCCATGAAAAAATCCTTATTTCTTTTTTAAATCCACAATAACATGCCTAGCAAAAACAGACAATACAGAGGAGAATGTTATGCAGCTCCCTATAGACTAGCAATGTAAATTAAAGATTTCATGTAAATTGAAACGAACCCTTGGAGTCAACCGGTAAACCACAAATCCAACAATTAAAAGTGATGCTAGAATACCAATCGTGCAACCACTGGTATAATAGAAAATAGCATTTTTCACTAATGAATACGACATCAAAAACAAGGCTATGCTACCGATGAACACAGCCAGACGTATGTAATTAATTTCTGGAATTGAATGACATATAATGTTTTCGGAAATTTGAATCTACGAAAGTTTCTTATAATCATCAAATTATATCAATAACATTTACATATAACTTGGGCAGAAAATAACAAATAAACTTACTCCATACACGTATTCGGATTTCATATGGATGTCGAGTGCTCACGCCAATAACACTTTTAGAAAATGGACTTAAATGCTTGTAATGCAGTAACTTGACACGGCGTACCAATCCCCAGAAACGCTGGTCATCGTGATAATGTTCCAGCACTTCCGAACAATTCTCACCCTACAAATCATATTAAATTATCATGAATACTTTCATCCAGAGCTACTTTACGAGGACAATTCTAATGCGGAAAGTATATTAGAACGAAAACCAACTACAGAACTACTGTTAATAATAATGCAGAAGCCGATACCTAATTTCATAAATGACTTTTTATCCGTTGAACTGCATTAATTTTGAAATCTGGAATATTAAATGAGTGTTTACCTGATAAAGTTGATAAGCATGTTCGTTAGTAAGGTTAATTTGAAGATAGACATCCATGAACATATATTTCACATGACGAGGAAATCTATTACAGTGATAAAGATCCAAAATGGTGGACGCACTTGACCAACTAGATACTTTCGCCGGCACTATTATATACGATGATGTGAGCTCTAAAGATGAATAGAATGATAAGCAAAAATAAATAAATGTAAAATATAAATATGTATATGAGGGTGGATAAATAACAAACATAATAAGCAATCGACACTTTTACAACTTTCATCAGGAGCTCAAAAAACTTAGACGAAATATGCTTTCCAGTAAATTAAAGTACATTTAAGCTATACAAACAAGAAGAATTCGTTTTGACGCAACATAGAAATGAAAATGGAATGATAATTTAAAAAATAGAATCATAATTTAAAACATTGAATGAACGACTCATTTATTAAAGTGCAATTTCTTGAAACAAATATATTTAAACATAATTTTCACCAAATTATAGCTTTATTAATTCGAATTGTCTCGAGCTTACCACGTGTAATACACTGTTTGGAAGCATCTTCGTCGGCAGTTACCAAATAGATTGACAGAAGTAATACCACCATTTTGTTCAACATTGCTGCAATTCGCGGATGCAAAAATAAGATAAGGAAATTAAGCAAGAAATATGAATGCCAGCAGTTACTTTTGTGTTATTGTTTTGTTGTTGTTATTGTTGTAGACTAACAATTGGTCGATAAAATCAATAAGACGATGAAGTAGCCTGAAGTAAGCAAATAAATTGAGAAAGAACATATTTCGTGTTAAAAGAATTTCCAGAATCCCCGACTGACTTAGCATTTATCTACCCAATTCAACCTTTCAAGCCACAATGCTCATAGCCTAACCACAGACTAGCTGTTGTTTACCACTCGTCCAATTGATATCTGAATTTAAATTTCACCTTAGTTTCTATTCAGGGTATAGTATCCTTATACTTTAGTCTGGTAACAACTCTCTCCTACCTAGACTCCACGTTTCTTCACGTCATTACTCAAACCCAGTATGACGTCATAGTGGCATTCTGCAGTAGCAATGGTGTGCTGAATATTTGGACGTTTTTTTTTGTACTCAAGTAAACTTTTTTTTGTTATGTCCAATTCTCAATGTTTTGATCTCTATCTTTTACAAAGCTATAATTGTCATTATCCTCTTTATCTGTAAATAATACACGGATTTGTCGTCTTATGCTAATTCAGTGATGGATTTAACTAAATTGGAAATTGATAACATAAGTTAATTTTAGGAAGATATGGTAGGTATTGGTGATCTTAGTCGAGGTTTCATCCAAGAAATATGCGAGAGAAATACTGGCGAAGAGAGACCAGTGGTTCAAATTCTGGTATGTTATTTCGCTTATTGGTCTTTTTTTTGTTGCCTGTTTTTACCTCTGTTTTCTTGTAATTTATTTGAAATAACACTATTTCTTCCCATGTGATTGTCAGGTAGTTATGGTAGAATTAAAAAGAAAGAATTCTTTCTCAGGAAGCAAGACCATTGGTTAACAGTCAAGCGGAACCTGCTTCAGAAGCTCAGTACTTCCGATTTCGGATATCTGATGG